CTAAAATCGAGCGACAAAATGAATGGCAATGTAAAACCTAAAATTGTTGACGGAGATTGCAAAGTCCAACTGTCGAACTTAGAACATTATCTACAACGCATATTTACTACAGCACAAAAATGTCGAAACTGTCGAAATCAGAACATTATCTACAACGCATATTTAAGTAGAACTTAAAATTGTTGACTGACAATATTTACTTCAGCACAAAACTTCAAGCTTAGAACATTATCTACAAAGCATCAAATTCTGAATTTGCTAAACAATTTTGCTAAAATACAGGCAATTCCATAGACCACAATAGACATAAACATTATCAACAACTCCAAAAATAATACAACAATAAGAATCAAATATTACGGCTAGAGTCGTTGATACTATTGTAATGAAGAAAAATGTCACGAAGAAACAATGTTATAATTTTAATACATTCAGGCGAATCAAGTTCATGGATGTATTTGCAAGGGCAAGAATGGCATTGAGAGTGGCGGTTTGCAAGGGCAAGAATGGCATTGAGAGTGGCGGCATATGAGCTAATGCACTGGCCATAGGAGTAGGGACGGTGATGGTGATAGTGGAAGGAACAATACGGCCCATGCACTTGGCACATAGCAGCCAGTTGTAGAGCTCGACTTGTTCAGGACTAGCCGCAATCAAAACGATGGCAACAGGTCCGTCTTGGATCGAGCGGACCTCCTACGTCATTGGCTCTCCATTTTCCTCCACCGACATCCTTGATTCAGTCTTGCTTAGTGAAAGAAGAGAGTGGTAAAAGCCCCTATTAGGTGGTGCCAACAGTTCGTATACAGATATGTACATACAATTCTTTATAAATATATGTATGGTGTTGACCTCCAAAAATGGCTCCTCCACGTGGCCAACTTATAGCTACTCCACGTATTCCTCCCTGCGAAATGAACAAATGGTCAGGCGCACACGGCCGGAACCGACGGGGGTGGTGGCGGCCGTATACACTCCGACGGTCAAGTCGTGTATTGAGAGTTTCATTACCTTTGCCTCTTGCCAAACCTTGGGTATTTATAGGTGGTATGAACCGCGGGATGTGGAACACGTGTATACATCTGACGGTATGAAACGTCTGCTCATAGGCGTCAATCAACCGCGCTTGTAGAGTGGGCGGACAGTTTGTTTCCCCCGAGTTGAATTGACATAAAGTTGATAAGTCACATCAAATAGCCTCATAGGGACGTCAAATCAATTTAAACCTTAGATGCAGGACAAATCTTAAATTGGCGGCGGATCTTCTAACCGGGGTCCATTTGATCCCGACCTCGGAGGTGAGATGCTTCGGCAGATCAGTAGTAGGAATCGATATATCACTTCGGAGAAGCTTCGGGAGGGTCGTTTTCAGGTCAGAGTAAATGGTGCTGCGTTGGTGTCTACTTGATCTCGGCCTCGGTGGTGAGATGGCACTTCGGTATCGAGGCGCGAATAATCAAGGCGTAACAGTGGTCCCCCAAATCTGGGAATGAATATTTATATTATGCGTGGATTTGTTTTCCTGAACGGGCCGCGCGTCATGGGACCTTTTTTGGGGGTCGATTCGTCGCAGCAGCCTAGGTTAGGATAATAGGCAGATGCGGGGCATTCGCGTCAGGTGCGTCCAATTTTTGTAAAGTTTGAGGAGGAACTCATCTCGCACCGATGCGTTGACAGGAAAAGGTCGACGCATGGGGAGATGGCTGAAACTTTGTAAAGCATGGGAGGAAACGCAGCGTTCGAAGCGATGAGCCAATGGGGCGTTCGCGTCAGGTGCGTCCAAGCTTTGTAAAGTTGGAGGAGGAGCTCATCCGAGGCGACCCAAACGTCCAATGATTTGACAACTGTTGCGTGTTTCCAAGGTGACAGTTGGGTGCCATGCCCATTCTCCTAAAAGGCTGCTGCGGCTAGTAATTATTATTGACGGCTGGTTGTAACCGAGGTGACGCGTTTCAATTTAGCGTGAAGGTCACAGTGACATCTTGGGCGTAGATCAAATCTGACGTTTCATTTCAACGACCCGGATTGAGGATGCGACGAACGGCTTAGATTGATCGCATTTGAATTCAACGGTGGAGATTGGACTTGTTTTTCCTATAAAAGGAGGACTCTGAGGTTTTCTCAGAGTTTCTACCTTTGTAAGACTAAAACCATAATTTGCTCTCAAATTTTCGGCGATTTTCAGCGTTTTGCAAGCAACTCCGGCGAGAGAGAAGGATACTTCCGGCAACTTCCAAACCCGTAAGTTTCAGCACTCATTTGGACTGTAAAAAATTTCTTAACGAATGGCCTCGGAAGGGAGTTCTGGTTTGGGGAGGGGCTTAGAAATAGTGAGGGTGGACGAGCCCATTGTGGCGACCTCCTCAGAAATAGCTGGGGCAATAATGGGGGGGGAGAACATATGGAAGCGACCAGATAGCCCCCCAAATACTTCTGTGCATTGGGGGCGTCAGACTACCCGTCAAAATTGAGGTAGGCCTACCTGGGTAGACTTAGGACAGAATATAGGATCCCAGACAGTGTAGACTTGATCCTCCCCGGGCCGAAAGAGAGAGCTTGTTACCCAAGGCCGGGCTGTGTGGCCATTAGTGAGGCGATCCTTAGGGCCGGACTTAGGTTGCCTATCAACCCATTCTTTAGGTTGGTGCTTAGGTCTTATGGGCTAGCCCCGACGCAGCTCAATCCAAACTCCTAAAGCCAGATGGTGGGCTCTTGGATGTTGTGGAAAGAGGCGTCATTAGGGGTGGAGATGCCCCTTTCCATTTTCCAGACCCTCTATATACCCAAGGTTACTGCCGGGGGGGATAAGACCCGGGGTTGGTACTACCTAACGTCATGGGGTTCCCACACTCCATTCGTGATCGATCTGCCGAGCTCCATCAAGGAATGGAAGAGCTCATGGTGCTGGGCAGCAGGGCGATGGGACATAATGAAGGGGGACCCCCTGGCGCCTCTTACAGTCCCGACGAAGTTTTCAACACTTAGTGAGTATGGTAGTTGCTCCTTTTATTTTATCTTCGGTTCAGCTTGTGTCTAACGGTTATGTTTCATTTCGTAGGTTCTCTTCCTCGTTGCGAGCTATCAACAGAGGACTTCGACACTATCTGTGTCATTTATCAGCTACCTCAGAAGAAGAGATCCTACCACAGGCTGATCCGGAAGAACATCCATTTCATCACTCACGACTTAATGGCGTCTCAAGGTAATAGGACCGAAGCCCATACCTTTTTTATTCCAAACTCCCTAGACTTGTACTGATTCCTTATTTGTTCCTTTGTAGATAACTTCAACAAGAAGCTTCCAGTACGCCCGACTTCAAGATCATCCAAAAAATGATGGCTGAGGCACGGGTGCTGAAGGCCTCCTCCTCTTCGTATAAGAAGCAAATGGAGGAGCTGGTGGAGGCCAGTAAGAGGCTCCAGCCTCCGACGGAGGAGGAGGTTCAGGAGGACCCAGAGGCTGACCTCCGAAGGAAGGGCAAGAAGAGTGCTGCCCCTCCTAGACGCCCAACTGTGGCGAGACCACCCCCAGTTTTGAGGTAGACAACTATTCCCACGGGGGTGGCCCTCCCGGAGAGAACCCCCGCTTCAGTAGAGCCTATCACTACCTCGGACACAACACCCCTTGCTGCCGTACCCATTGAACAAGTTCCGGGGCAGCAGAGGAGAAAAAGGGGCCGCTCCACCAAAGAGGTTGATTTCCTGGGCACCAATCAGGAGGAGCCCGTAAGGGAGGTGTTGGAGGCTCTTCCTCCAGAGACAGTTGCGGTGGCGGTGGTCCACAGCAAATATTGGACCGAAGAGTGGAGGGACCACATCGCCTCCTGCACGGCCGAAGACTTGGTAGTGGCGAACAGCGCCTGCATAGCCCGGGCACTAAGCATAAGCATCCAGCTCGAGGGCTTGGTGAAGGATCTAAACTCCAAGAGGGAGGACCTCGCCAAGCACCTCGAGGAGGCAATGCATTATGGGGATGCTGTGCGAGCTGCCCAGGCCAAAGCCACCAAGGCAGTGGAGGGGAAGAGAGCTGCTGAGGTCCAGCTTACTGCTGCGTAAGCAGAGGTAGAGCGGCTGAAGAAAGAGCTCTACGAAGTGGAGTGCCAAGTGGCTACTGTGACTCGACGACTTGACCACGCTAACGAGCACCACAAGCTCGCCACCGATGCTCTGGAGACCTCTAACATAGAAAAGGCAGAGCTGAAGCAGCAGACTAAGGCCCAGTCGGAGGAGATCGCCTCTTTGAAGGAGGAATTGAAGTCTGCGGGGGAGGTGCCAGTCCAGAATTTTATTGATCACTTCGAAGACCATCTCCTTTACGATAACTTTGCCAACTTCTGGGCCTCGTGGAGTGCCGAAAGCCTACTGGGTCGACTTAAGGAGGTGCATCCTACTCTGGACATCTCTCAACCGGAGGCAGAGTTTGGGGGACCAACTGGAGGTCGGCCTGATAAAGTTACTGAGGAGGCTCCAGAGGCCCAGGAGGCGGCCAGTGCTGAAATTCCTCCCACAGACTAGGGTTTCCTTTTTATCTTGTAATGGCTTCGGCCCCCAATGTACTTTAATTTTGTGAAATGGAATGAAAAATTTTTGCTAAGTCTTTTGGCTTCTGCTTTTTCGTATTCCTTTTGTTTTATACTTGTATGAATGACAAACATTAGACTAATTGCCTCGTGAAAATGATCGGTAAACAATTGTTAACCGGTCTGCTTAAGCAAACATAAGTCCAAACACTTAAGTGAGCAGGAAGTGATTCCTAACTTCAACTTCTTAATAATCTGAGGTCAGACCAATTGGGGAAACATGAGGAACCGCTTGGTAATCAGCTAATAATTGACGATCGGATCGCTCAAATGAACCTTCCGAAGAACTGAGGAAGCTATTCCCTAGCCGATCTGGTTTGGAACTGGAAATTCATTACTTAGATAAATTACACCACCCTTTACAAAGGCGACTCCATCACTTAAGAAACTTTACAACCGAGATCAGATCGGAACAGTCTTATCACTGGTAGTATTTTCTCAAGTGCTCGATGTTCCACTTGTGAGGTAGCATCTTTCCCGACATATCTTCTATCTTGTATGTACCAGGTCGGGGTTCCCCTCGAATGCGGTAAGGGCCTTCCCAGTTCGGGCCGAAAACTCCTGACCCGGTTGGTTTTGATGATTGGAAAACTCTTCTGAGGACGAGATCGCCCAAACGGAGAGTTCTGTTTCTGACCTTGGAGTTGTAAAAGCGGGTCATCTTGCGATGATATTTTGCCAAGGTCACTTGGGAAGTCTCTCTCTTTTCCTCAAGGAGGTACAGTTCACTTATTCGTGCCTCGTCGTTGCTGATCTCATTGAAATGTATCCGTCGATGTGATGGGACCCCAACTTCGACCGGACTCATTGCTTCGGCTCCGTAGGTCATGGAAAATGGGGATTCGCCGGTTGCAGTCCGGCAAGTCGTTCTGATGCTCCAGAGGACGTGGGGACGTTCGTCAACCCAGGCGCCTTTCGAGGAATCCAGTTTCCTTTTCAGGGTGTGCTTGATAGTCTTGTTCACTGCTTCAACCTGTCCATTTGCCTGGGGGTGATGCGAAGTCGAAACGTCCTTCTTTATGCCCAGTTCGTCGCACAAGTCTCGCATCTTCTTATTGTCGCACTGCCGCCCGTTATCAGAGACAATGGAGTGGGGGATGCCGAATCTACAAATGACGTTTTTCCAAACGAACTTCGTAATATTGGCCTTGGTGATTCGGGCAAGGGGTTCTGCCTCGACCTACTTAGTGAAGTAGTCGATGGCGACAATGGCAAAAGTTGCGCTTCCCCTACCTTTTGGGAGTGGACCAATGAAGTAGATGCCCCACTTGGCGAATGGCCAAGGGCTGGTCACTACAAAGAGGCTCTGAGCAGGCTGTCTTTGCACGTTAGAGAAGCGCTGGCACTTGTCACATTTCTGGACAAATTGGCAAGCATCCCTTTTCAGGGTTGGCCAGAAGTAGCCTTGACGGAGAACCTTGTGTGCCAGAGCCATCCCTCCGGATCCCTTCATGTATCTCTCTGAGTATGTATGTGGCCTCTTCTCCGCCCACACATCGAAGAAGGGGCGAAGCGAAGCCTCTCTTGTAAAGGGTGTCTTCTTGAAGGACGAAGTGTGCAGCCCTTCTTCTTAATTTTCTTGCTTCGCCTCTGGAAGCAAGCAGCGTTTGTTCCTTCAGATATGCGATTATGGGCTGCATCCACAATGGGGTGCCTTCTATCCATAGTAACTCTTCGCCTTCGAAGGTGGAGGGCTTCGATAAGTGCTCAATGAGGACGATGTTTAGAAGCTCTGAGTTCATGCTGCTGGCTAACTTTGAGAGGGCATCTACATGGGCATTTTCTAGATGAGGTACTTGAGTCAGTTCGAACCTTTCGAAATGGGGGATTATGTCCAGAACCAGCTTCAAGTACGCAAGCATGTTACCATCTTTGGCTGCGAAATCCCCATTTACCTGATTTACTACGAGCTGAGAATCACTGCTTGCTAGGAGCTTCTTGACATGTATTTCCTTAGCGAGCCTTAGACCTGCCAGAAGGGCCTCATATTCGGCCACGTTGTTCGAGGCTCTGAAGCCGAATCTTACCGCACAATTTAGCAAATGGCCTTCCGGGCTCTCCAACACGATTTTCGCCCCCGCGCCAGCCTCTCCCGAAGACCCATCTACAAACAATTTCCATGTGGGGGGCTCGGTCGGTTCCATTAGGGCCTCCATTTCTAGGGCTTTGGTAAACTCGACCATAAAATCGGCAAGGGTCTGGCCCTTGATAGCGTGTCTAGGTCGGAACGTGAGATCGAACTCGCTGAGCTCGATAGCCCATTTCAGCAGGCGTCTCGACGCGTCCGTTTTCTGCATCACTTGCCTTAAAGGAAAATTGGTGAGGACTTGTATTGAGTGGGCTTGGAAATATGGCCTCAGCTTTCTCGAGGCTGTGATAAGTGCGAGTGCCAGTTTTTCCATGTCGGAGTAACGTGTTTCAGCTGGGAGAAGTGCTTTGCTGATGTAATACACCGACAATTGACGCTCATTTTCTTCCCTGGTTAGGACCGTGCTGACTGCCACGTCTGAAACTGCTAGGTACAGCAACAGAGATTCATCCGGATGGGGTTTCGACAGGAGGGGTGCTTCCCCGAGGTGTTTCTTCAGAGACTCGAAGGCTTCTTGGCACTCCAAAGTCCATTGAAATCTCTTTCCTTGCTTCAATACATTGAAGAAAGGCAAACTTTTATCAGTGGCTCTGGAGATGAAGCAGCTGAGTGCGGCTATCCGGCCATTGAGACTTTGGACCTCCTTCGGTTTCTGAGGTGACCTCATTTCTAGTAAAGCCGCTACCTTTGTCGGATTTGCGTCAATTCCTCTCTGATTTACAATGTATCCCAAGAACTGGCCTGATGCCACTCCGAAAGTGCACTTGAGGGGGTTCAACTTCATGTTATACTTTCTGAGTATCTGGAAGGTTTGGTCAATGTGACTCACATGTTCGGCCGCCTGGAGGCTTTTGACCAACATGTCGTCCACGTAGACCTCCATGGTTTTGCCAATGAGTTCGGCAAACATCATGTTGACTAACCTCTGATATGTGGCCCCGACATTTTTCAATCCGAAGGGCATAACTTTGTAGCAATACAGCTCCCTGTCCGTAATGAATGATGTAGCTTCCTCATCAGGTCGGAACATGGGTATCTGGTTGTACCCTGAGTACGCATCCATGAAACTCAGTAGTTCATGCCCAGCAGTGGAGTCTTCCAGTTGATCAATTCTTGGAAGTGGGAAGCTGTCCTTGGGACACGCCTTATTCAGGTTTGTGAAGTCCACACAGACCCTCCATTTCCCGCTGGACTTTTTCACCAGAACCGGGTTGGATATCCACCTCGGATATATGGCCTCTCTGATGAAACCACTACGGATAAGTTTACTTACTTCGTCTTTCAGCGCCTCGTACCGGTCCGGGTTCAGGGCACGCCTCTTCTGTCTATGGGGGGCATAGGAAGGGTTGATGTTAAGGTGATGGCAACTGATCCTAGAATCTATTCCCACTATATCTTTATGTTTCCATGCGAAGACATCCAGGTTTTCTTTCAGGAATCGTATCATCTCAATTTTTTCTTCAGGCGATAATGACTTCTCTATGCGCAAGACTTGATTGGAGTCTTCTGGATTGACTGGGAAAGTTTCCAGTTCTTCCATGGGGGTCGCATTTGGTTCATAATCGATTATTCGGGGGTCTAACTCATCAAGAGGGTGTCCTTGTTCAGGGGTCTCTTCCATGACGACATCTTCCTCTTGTTCAGAGGTATGCCCTTATTCAGGGGCGTCGAGCATTTTCACGTCCGTACCGGCTTTAGCGGGTACTTCGGCTAGAATTACATTGACAGTTCGGGGCTCAGATTTACGTAGCGAGTTTAGGTAGCATGCCCTGGAGCCCATCTGATCGCCCTGGACCGTTGCAATCCCATGTTCAGTTGGGAATTTCATGCACAGATAGTGAATGGACGTCACAACCCAAAGATCTTTTAGAGCAGGTCTGCCCAATACTCCATGATAAGCTGACCTATGATCTACCACCAGAAATTCCATGAAATGCTGGGCGACCAGGGGGACCGAACCCATTTCCACAGGCAGGGTAATCCGCCCTCGTGGGATGATGCTGTCCCCAGTGAATCCGAACAGTGGGTCGGTCATGGGGATTAACCCATGTTCAATTTGCATTTTGTCAAAAGTGAAGCCGAACAATATGTTCACGGAACTGCCTTTGTCAACGAGCATGCGTTTTAATCCGTTTTCTAGCCACTACGGCTCTTACAACCAAAGCGTCGCAATGGGGATGGTGAACTCCCTCTGAGTCTTCCTGGGAGAAGGTGATTGGGGCCATCTTGTTTGCTGATTTCGATTCGTCGACAATGTAGGTGATCATCGGGAGATCCTTATCTTCTCTTGTATAATTTCTCTGGACATTCCTGGTGTTGCCATCGACGTGGGGTCCCCCAATGATGGTATCAATTTCCTTGATGACCTGGCTTCCAGCGAATTGGGCTTGGTTCTCTTGCCTGGATTGGCCTCAGTTTCTCGATTCTCTTCTGCGAGGAGATTGTTCCTGGTGACCTCTTCCTCCCCTCCTCGGAGAGGTGGATCTGCGGGGGTGCTCGTTTTTGCTGGAAGTGTGGGGGTTGCTTCGATCAGGGCACCGATTGGCATCCCGACACTCGCTGGTGTCATGCCCGTATAGTTGATGAAAAGTACAAAATCTTGCTCCTGCCAAGGGCCTGTTTGGCCTCTTTTTCTTCTTCTTGATGTTGTCAGTTCTTCCAGATGGTCTTGCCTCAGCGGGTGCGTTATCATATGCCAACACCGGCACTGCGTTCAATGTGGCGGAAGTTAGGGCTTGTCCGGATGCGGGAGCTATGGTATGCCCCGCTTGGGTCCATTGCTGAGTAATAAGGTGCGCTGCGGGGCCTCGACCTACCTGCCTCTGTGGGGGAGGGAGTCCCTGCGCGGCACGGTTGCGATGATCAATCATTTTTTCACTAACAATTTCCACTCTCATCATCTCCACCAGCTCGTCGTATGTGGAGGGATTTTTGCTGCGCACGTCCCTCCAAAACAAAGTGTTCATGTTGAGATAGCTTTTCAGCGTCTCTCCAGGGGCCTGCCTCATGTCTTGCAGGCATTGGATTGGCGCCTCTCCTTCCCTGCGTGAGAGGTACTGGTTCAAAAATGCTTTCTTCAAGTCTGGCCAACTTCTGATGCTTAGGAAAGGAAGCCTGCTGTACCACACCTCGACGGCTCCGCCTAGTGTTAAATGGAAGACTCTACACTTTAGAGCAGGTGAGGCTACCCTAAGACTCATTTGTGTCATATACTTTGTGAGGTGCTTCTCCGAATCCCCTTTTCCCTCATACTTGGGGATCTTATAGGGCATGAAGTTAGTTGGCATTGGGAAGCTTCAAATTTCCCTTGAGAAAGGGAGGTTATCGTCATCGTCGTCAATCTCATAAGATCGACAGGGCCCCTCTGATCCTTCATCATCTTGGATGTCTTGGGGTAGAGGAGGTGCTTCTCCCCGGCTCCCCCAATCGACTAAGTTTCTCCTCTCCCTCCTATTTCTAGGAGGAGGGGGAACATGCTCTTCTTCGCTGTCTGACCGGACCGACCCTCTTATCGGGCGGACCCTATTGCTAGGATCGTTCCCTATTCGATCAAAAACGCTCACTGACCTCTGGTCATCGTGTTCTTGAGGAAAGTTGTCCCCAAAGAGTGGTTCTGATGGATGACTCTCCTGCACATAAGATGTCGCTTCAGTGTTCCCCTCTCTTTCGAGAGGACGTTCTGTGTGCCGGCTCATGTGGCCTCGAGAGTGAGACAAAGGGATTTCCTGTACCGAATAAGATCCTTGGGGCCTCTGGTGTCCCTGGGCTTGCATGAGAAATTCCCGCATTGCCATATTCTGAGCTGCTATGTTTCCCATACCCGCAGCTATCTGGGCCATTCCTTCAGTGAGTATGGCTGTTCTTTCACCTCGTCGACGCCGGTGATGCGGTCTCTGACGAGTAACATTGTTATGGAGTACCTCTTCTTCAGAGGCCTCTCTCATGGGATTGTCTTCACGGCTGTAGCTCATCCTACCTCTTTTTTCAAGGGTAGTAAGAACTTGGATTGTAATTCGACTTAGTTCTTTTTCAAGAATGCCCCTTTTTCAGGGTCAGTCGCCGGTTTTCCGGTGTCTTCTCCGATGGGGAATGCAAAACTTCAAATGGGGAATGAGTTTCCCACAGACGGCGCCAAATTGTTGACCTCCAAAAATGGCTTCTCCACGTGGCCAAACTTATAGCTACACCACGTATTCCTCCCTGTGAAATGAACAAATGGTCAGGCGCACACGGCCGGAACCGACGGGGGTGGTGGCGGTCGTATACACTCTGATGGTCAAGTCAGGTTTGGGTGGTCGGAACAGTGCCCAGGGGCTACACAAATCAATCAATAAAGGGGGAGGATAATATATAAACTTGTTATGGAATGCTGTGTATTGAGAGTTTCATTACCTTTGCCTCTTGCCAAACCTTGGGTATTTATAGGTGGTATGAACCGCGGGATGTGGAATACGTGTATACATCTGACGGTATGAAGCGTCTGCTCATAGGCGTCAATCAGCCGCGCTTGTAGAGTGGGCGGACAGTTTGTTTCCCCCGATTTGAATTGACATAAAGTTGATAAGTCACATCAAACAGCATCATGGGGACGTCAAATCAATTTAAACCTTAGATGCAGGACAAATGTTAAATTGGCGGCGGATCTTCTAACCGGGGTCCACTTGATCCCGACCTCGGAGGTGAGATGCTTCGGCAGATCAGTAGTAGGAATCAATATATCACTTCGGAGAAGTTTCGGGAGGGTCGTTTTCAGGTCGGAGTAAATGGTGCTGCGTGGGGTCTACTTGATCTCGGCCTCGGTGGTGAGATGGCACTTCGGTATCGAGGTGCGAATAATCGAGGCGTAACATATGGAATTGAAGATTTACTGTGCTTTTTAACTTTTAACAGAGAAAAGAAATTGGTGGAAGACGGAGGAAATGATGAAATGATACTATGTCGTTTGCTATTTGCATAAGAGTAATAATACAACCAAAAAAATGGCGTCGCTCGGACTCGAACCGGAGACATTCAGTGTGTTAGATTGACGTGATAACCAACTACACCACGGCGCCTTCTTCTTCGTGTGCATAACAAGAACTCAATATATTTTGTGATTAATTTTTATTGCTAACAATAATTTAGAATATCATGCCTTAAATTTTCTTTTTTAAAATTTTGGGCTTATATTAGTCGCCTCAGTTCTTACGTCAGGTTCAAAGCAGCACGCCATAACTCTTGGTAAAGTAGCTAACAATATCGAAATGACAAAGTTCAATTAACAAGAAAAATGAGGTGTACGTGCTTAAAAGTTTTGAAATTGAACAATTTACTTATTCTGGAGTACCACAAATATGACTATGGATATGATCACCCTACCTAACTTGTAGAAGAGTCATTGTGGAATCGCTGGTTTCCTTGTCACGATCGTAAACTCTTCACTTTGTTAATATTTACTAGAGCTGAACTTAACTTATATTTGAAAGGTTATTATGAATTTCAAGAAATATGTGAGTAAGAATATGTTTGACAAAATGTGTGTTTATAATTTAAACTCAATTATCACAATATAATTAGATCATGTTGGTCATTACAAGTTATGAGTTTTATGAAATGTGTAGTTAAATGTTATAGTTCTAGTGGAGTGTGTAATTAAAAATGAAATTTGATCAACTTGTAATTAAAAAAAAAAAAAAAGCTTAACTTAATAGGGGCTTAATAAGTTTTGTTGCGTCTTATCCTACAAGACTCCTACGTGGCTGCTAGTTAAAAAACAACAAGAAATCACCTAAAGGCGTACACTTCTCATCACTCGCTTATTTGACCTATCTGAGGCCATCGAATAATGGTAGTCGAAGTGATGCCTTCTCCTTAGTCGAATCGACATGTAGAGGTCGAACCTCCATGATCGAGGTGAAGTGCTATGATTTGCTGCAGCTTATTTTCTAAGAGGTAAGTCTTTATTCCACAAGGCATCTTCCATAGCTTCACTTCATCTAAGAGATACTTTGTACAAGATCTTCCATATGATTAATTGATTTCATATTTTTGCAGCAAATGCCTCTTGGTCAAATTGTTTGTCTACTTTTCAGATGTCAGACATAGGTCATAGTTCGATCACTTTTCAAAATCATTAAATGCTATCTCAATCCTAGGATCGCAGACGTGACGCCCATGAGGATAAAGTGTCAGCCTTCAAGAGAGGCCACATGATATTTATCCAATGGTAACTACATCACCTTCTATTATAAAAGTGTATGTAAAATATCAGGTAATGCAATTTTACAATATTAATAATAGCTTTGTTTGATATTCTCTTTTGAACCTGGAATCATATACATCCTTAGGGGTTACATTTACTATTCATTTCACATCCCTATTTACAGATATAGTTGACTAACTTGATAGTTGAAGTGCTCGTGGTCACCTTTCAAGCTTCTAAAGAAGGCCACGTGCGTGTAACGATTTGTTCAAATGTGTAGACCTTACAATTCAATCGAAAACCAAGGTCAACAAGCTTATCAATTTATAAAGTCTAAATTTTAACCTTGATTATGGATC